GGCGGCGGGGCGCGGCAGGCCGGCTTTGACCAGGTCCGCGGCGAGGGCCTCCTGGGCCGGGCTGGCCCCCGCCGCCGCCGCGCCTTTCGCCACCCCGCCCGCCGCGGGCGCGGCGGCGGCGTCGCTGCCGCTGTCCTTGCTGCCGCCGCCGCCCCACGCGCCGCCGCAGGGGATCACCGGATCGGCCGCCTCGCGCCGCGGCTTCTTGCCTGGTGGGCCGCCCTGCTTACGCCCGTGCTGCCCCTGCTGCTGCTGCTGCGGCCCTGCGCCGCCACCCGCCTCTTCCTCGAGCTTTGACGCAAAGCGCCACCGCTCAAACGCCAGCAGGGGGGCCTTCTCCAGCCCCCCCTCCCTGCAGAGCGCCCCCAGCTTGGAGCGCAGCCGCTCCAGCGCGCGCGCGCGACGTACCTCCAGCTCCGCCGCTGCGGCCGGCGCGGCCGGCGCGCCGGCGCGCGTCGCGGGCGGGCTCCACTTAGCGGCGGGCGCAGCCGCGGCGGCATCTAGGAGGGGCCTGGGGTAGGCGGACGCGGGGCGCGGGCGTGGAGGAGCGTGGGCGCAATGGTGCGTATGTGCCCGGCTGCTGCAAAGGCCAGGACAGCGGCGCGGGGCTCACTGCTTTGAAAACGCGCCAGGCGCCGGTGCTGCTGCCGCTGCTGCTGCCGCCGCTCCTGTCACAGGGGCATCCGTATGGTCATGGGCGTGGCCTGGCAGCTTTCTCTTCTTTGTGCTCATGTTTCAGCTACGCATATACGGTCCTGTTTGTAAACCAGTTGCAGCCGAGATCAGGCAGACTGCACGCTTGTGTTTAGGGGCGAAATGGGATGCAGGAACGTTCTTCACATTCATCGCGACAACACGTAGATCGCCGTTGTCAACAAGCGCAGAACGGATCAGTCACTATGACACACCACAGTTGACCACACGTCACCCGGGGCGACGAGCCCCGAGTGATGGAAGCAGTCCTCAGAGGCCCCCAAATGAGGCGACAGTACTCACAACACCATCAATGCACATGTGACCAGTGTGACACATGGACCACACAGGGCTTCGTTGTTTGCAGGCTGCTCAAGCCAACCTAGGGCTTCATGTCGCATGCTGCGCAGGTGCCGCCACTGGGTAGTGGCGCATCGAGCGCTCTGCGTCCGGCCTGCTTCTGGCAGGCAAATTGCCGAGAGAAGCAATGTGGGAGCAGGAGCAGTGAGGAACTGGGGTAAGGAGCGGCCCCCGCTGTTGAGTTGGTTGTGAGGTGGGGTGCAGCTGCATCGGCGAGTGCCGTTGTGGTGCCTCTGCGATCGTGCTTCCCCAAGCGCGTTTGAGCTCTCCCTGGCACCCGCTGGAAACGGGCGGGTGCTCTGTACCAACAGGGACCCATGGCTTGGGACGCGAGTGAAACCGCGCTGCCATCGGGGCACACCAGCATTGCTGCAGGCCTGCAGGCTGGTGCCGTGCCAGGCAGCCGCAGTTGTGCGGTGTGCCAGTGACACGTGCGTATGCATGAGTGCCAGGGGGCAGGGGCATACAGTTGGGCTCACAGGGGGCTGACATGAAAGCACTCAGTGGCCAACAAAGCAGCTTGCGCCCACACGCACTAACGCCATTTCACCGCTCCAGTTTCCAGGTGAACGTTGGGCAGAGGGGCTTAGGATAGGGTACCACGGCTGGACTCAAAGCGCAGCATGCATTTGTTTCACATAGGTAAGCATGACAGCAAAGGGACAGCTGATGACAGCAGAAAAAAAGTTTGGCTGCACAAGAGGGCCCGGTTCTCACACAAAACATGGCTGACAGGACAGGACAAAGGCAGGCACTAGGGGGCAGAAACATACAAAGTTGTGAAGGGACAGACAGGAGAGCAACACTTGGAAGTGATTGCATGCACTTCCTTCAGCAATGTTACATGCCAAGGGCAGGTCCCGACCTCATCCAGAAATCATCTGAGTCAGTTGTGAGAGTCATGCTTTGGTGGTGGCGAGAGCCACCGTTTTGGGGTTTGGAGCGCCGAACGAGGCGCTGCCACACGCGAGGTGCGTGA